ATGCGCCGAGCGTGTGCCGACTAGAGTCGTAAAACCGCGCTCGGAACATGATAGCCAGCAGGGTACGCTCGGCGGCCGAGTCGGCAAAAACCGCTCCGTGTGTTTTAGGCCTTAAACACATACGCAAGTTTAGAGCCAGAGGAATCTTTTGTGCCTCTTTTTATTCATAAATTATCAAAAACTGTGACAATTGCTAAGGCATTTGTTCAAACTTTACAATCAGGTAATACTAGCAAGGAAACTAGATATACCTGCATACTCATAACAACAAGAGCTGCTTTCGGGTGCCACCTTTTGAGCGCTCCCGAGTTACTCCGAAATACTCCGGCTACAGTTTAACGCGTTCGGTTTCAAGCGTTCGAGTGCAAAACGCATATAGTATGACAGGTCACTGACAGGTGTGATGTGGTCTAATCTAGGAGCACCAAAAAGCACCAAAAAGCACCAAAAAAAGCACCAACAATAGTGACCCGTCCCGTGGATTTACATAAAAAAGTATGTTAAAGTTCTACGACTCGCGGACCTTTATAAAATATGTTAAAGTTCCTGGACTCGCGGACCTGATTCCACTCCCTAAATTTAGTCCTAAATAACAATGAATAGTCAGTCAAATTCAACCAAATAAATTAAAAATACAGAAATCGTAACAAATAATAAAAATTTGGCTCTAGAAAATCCTACTTAACTTACCCCAGCTAATAGAAAAGACTTTTTACACATTTTTAATTCCACTTTTATATTAAATCTATAAAATATACACTCAGAAAATGCAAATTGTTTGAAAACAATGATGTTTATTTATTTATAAAATGTAAATAAATAATTATGACACATTCAAATTTGACATTTTCCCATAACTCCCACACGAATCAAGGCTATGCATTCAGCCGACGTAACTTTTTCTTTTAATAAATAGTTATACTTTATTTTTCTAGTAATCTCAATGCAATGTGAATTTACTTATTTCGCAGTACTAGGAAAAAATGTAGAGTGTAACGCGTGTGGAGTACTTGCCACAACTCTTTTCAACACTTGTTCCACAATAAAGAATGAAATTTTATTCAATATACATGGTGTTCCATTCAACTTCAGACAGTTTGATATCTCGAAAGCGGCGCGTTTTTGAAAAAAAAGCCTGTTAACTTTCATGACGTCATCTGGGGTGACTCAACATAATACACGTCTCCGTAAGGCACCCCAGATGGCGTCATCAAGTTACCTTTAACCAGAAAACCTATTAACTTGGTCACGCCCGAACTGTTAACGATTCGGTCGGATACAGTTGGCTCGAGTCGAGTTCAGCGCCAAGCGAGAGAGTGAAACAATCAGCAGTGCGAGTATGGGAGAGATGGTGCGTTTGAGATTCAATCGAGACTCCCCTTAGAACAAATTTCGGTAACATGTTTAGGCATACAGATGACGTCACGTCGTGAAAGTTATCAGGCAAACCAACCCAAGGCTCCTAAAGTTGATAGGTTGTCTGGTAATAGAAAACAGATGACGTCATTAGGAGGACCAAATGAAGATTTGCATTATGTTCAGGCATTCCGCAGATGACGTCATAGAGGTTATTAAGTAACCTACCTCTTTCAAACAGCCTTGCAGGCAACCTTCTTCTTTTAAACAACCTTGATCCAAACCGCAAATGGCAAGATTCAATATGGCGGCGAAGGTCAAGCTAAAATTTTCCTGTTTACACTGCTACTATACAGGGTGTTCAATAGAACTTATTATTTTCCCAAAACTTGGAGCGCGATTGAGATTTAATCGAGACTCGGCCAAAACAAATTTCGGCGACGTTATCGATATCGTTGGCAAAATGTTGATTGCTTGTTAAAAATCGTCAGGTAATGGCAAACAGATGACGTCATCAGGTGGTTCTTTCTACAAATATGCATTATGTTCAGGCATACAGATGCAGATACAATCCCAATGTTACTAAAGTTAATTAGTTGTCTGGTAATGGTGAAAAGATAACGTCATCAGGAGGACCTAATGGAGATTTGCGTGGATTTGCATTATGTTTAGATATCACGTTAGAAAAGTTATCAGGCAACTTTGTTCTTTCAAACAACTTTCCAGGTAACCTACCTCTTTTAAACAACCTTGATCCGAACCACTAATGCCAGGATTCAATATGGCGGCAAAAGTCAAGCATCTGAAATGTTTCTTTATTTAACCTATTATTCGTTTTCTGTCGTGTGGTCTTAAGCACACAGCGTAAACTTTTATTCTAAAACACGCCTTTTCCGAGATATACGACAATCACGATGTATACAGGGTGGTCAATAGAAGAATAATTTTTCCCAAAATTTCAAGATGTTGCCACATTCACATTTTTTCCAGTCTACAGCATTGTACATGGTGTCCCATTTTAATTGTATATAAGAGATACTCGGTTGCACAGTTTTCGAGAAAAAAAAAATCTGTTTTTATCATAAGAAACAATGTGTTAGAAAGAGACCGTTCTTTCACACAGAAATCACAAACTTATCATAGCGAATTTCATTGGTTAAAAACAGTCAGATAAAACTGGTGGTTGACGATTTGCACCAATCAAAACCGCTCTTACTGGTTTGTGATTTCTGTGGGTACAGACATTAGTATAGACCATTGAAATCAGCAAAAACAAAACTATGCAATGAGTTATTAACATACAGGGTGTCTCTATTTTGATACGGGCTGAATCAAATTTCAATGTTTGAGTATTCCCGGCTATTGATTGGAATCAAGAGCCGGAAATAATCACTTGATTGATTAATACTTCACTGAGCAACTCTTTGAGAATGTTGCTACTATATCTAGTACGGCATTCTTAGCTGATCATTTCCAAGGTCCAATTTATGATTATTCCTGGCTCTTGATTCAAATCAAGAGCCGGGAATAATCACTTGATTCATTTAAACTTCAATAACAACCATTTAAGAATGTTGCTGCAACAAATCCGCCATTTTCCGTGGATATTTGATTCTTCAATGTCATGCTGAAAATTATTACAAAAACTTTTTATTATACAATGCTTCAAATATGTTGTGTGAGATCTTGTCTGAGTTAGGCGAAAAGGAAGTCAAACCTTTGTTTTCCCAAGTTCCCAAGCAATCAAATTGTAAGAAAACAATGGTTACGTGCTCTCAACCTGACTGAAAACGATTTATAGGTTGGAACAGAGATTTGAGGGTTCGTAAAATAACGATTTCCTATATCAAATACAATAATAATTGTACAATTGAAGGTTTGTTAGCACTTGCAAATTCGTACTTTTGGAACTTTTCTAAACTTTCCCCCCACATATTTGTCATTTTCGTTTGAAAATAAACAAAAACAGAAACACCGAAATTGCACAATTTGACAAGTGGAACCAATCAAAGTCATTCCACACAGGTATCGCGCGTCATTATATGTGTCTCTTTCTTTATTGCAGAAATCCTAATAAACTATCCTTGTTGTTCATTGCATGAGAAAGGTCCATTAAATAGATAGTTTATTCGTCCACTCGGCTATTTTTTTTTGTAATTTTATTGGAACATGCTAGACATGTGACAATTCCTATTATATCTTGAACATCCCTTGAGTTTATAATTATTTCTCCAGTCTATCTTTATCTGCAACCACCTCTGGTGATGCCAGTGCCTGTATTGTGTACCAAATAATGGTATAGGAGCCTTGTTCAGGGTGAGTCATGTCTTATTATAAACTTAATAGACAAGTTTTTTGTGTATTTCACCATTCTTTAAATAAAAATAACCAAATAATTTAGTTTTCTGATAGGGTCCTTCAGCCAGGCCTAGTATTGGTCCAATTCAATAAAGACTGCATGCTTCCCTAAACTTCATGTATCCTTTCTTCTGAGGTCACTTTCTTGGTCCCTGATGGATAGTGCCTAGTGTTCCTGATGACACCTCGACTTGGAAGTAGTGACCACAGGTTCCTTTACGTTTAAATTTTTCGATGTTCAGTTCGCTGTTCGGCTGAGCATGTGAATTTTCAGAGCAGAAGACTTAACGAAGTCTTTTATATTTTTTATTGAGCATTACCCAGTCGGAATGTCTCATTTCTATGTTCAGTTCACTGTTCGGTTGAGCATATGAATTTTCAGAGCAGATAGACCCAACAAGGTCATTTTATATTTTTATTGAGCATTACCTAATAAATGGAATAACTCATTTCTATGTTCGGTTCGCTGTCCGGTTGAGCATATAAGTTTTAAGGGCAAATAGAGCAGTAGAAAGGGTCCCAATTTAAATAAAATGATCGGTCATTATTATTATTTTACACAATAATATTTAGTTAAGTGTAGTACTGGGTTTGTAATTTTTCATTAAACTTTTTTTAGCATAATTAAGTGGAGAGCGTTGCTGTATTATGTCTTTTTATACATAATATTTCAGATTTGATATAGAGGTCTATTTCGAGGTTTGAGACCTAATAAATAAAAACTTCGTGGCGCCTTCAGTAAACACTCCTTAAACACGACCAGAAATGCTTCCCGATGAACAGCTGCCGTAAGCAATAACATCTTTTTAATCCGAAGTGATTAAAAACGTTACAAGCCTCCCTGACAAACAAAGAAACACTCAGAACTCAGTTATGAGCGAGAAGTGAGAACCAAGTTAGAGAACGTAGCATCAGAGCTCACTCACTTGGAATGAAGCTTAGCAAGTTATATGGCAAAACAAAAAGACTACAGATGAATCTCAATCAGAACTGATACAACATAAATCATTATGCTGGCCAAAGATCAAGATGTAGATCATGGAAGAGACAGGTCCCTTATCTCAAAATAATCGTAAGATTACACTGGAGAAGAACGATGATAACAGGCTGAAGAAAACTTGTTTGCATGTTACATTATAGTATTTTGTTGATAATATAGGGATTTAGTTGATCAAGAATTACTTTCCTTTGCTCAAACGCTTTGGTTCATGTCTATCATCAAATATACAACTCAAATCTTCAGTTTTCATTCGGCTGCTGACTAACATTTTTCTTGTCTATTTTAGGTCAGCGATTGGGCAGAATGATGATAAAACTTGCAACGACTTACATTTTGAAGAACTTTGAATTATCCGTCAGTCCTAAATTGCAGCAACCGATCACCTACCTGCCCTATAATTTCATGAACGAAATCAGAGGAGGAGCTTGGATAAGATACAAAAAAATCAGCGACTAAAACATACGAATTATGCATTTATTGTAAAATTAAATCAGATTAGGTATGTTATTAAACATTTTAACATAGCGTTTGCCGCCTTTCCAGTTAAATATTAATTAATTAAATATACATAAAAAAATATGCAACTGCAGCAGATCTGTGTAAAATATTTAATAATATTTCGTTAGTTAATTAAAATGGCTAGATATTACAAATAACTGAACGAAATTTCATCAAATAATATAATTATCTTTTGTTATAGCTGTTCTGGTATTGTTTTAAATATTTCAGCATTTTGAAGTTTTCCTTTAAAAATAATTATTATATTATCACTATTATTGGCTAATAATAATAAAATTTTTACATTATTCATATTGCTATACAGATAAAACCAACCTACTAGACCCATAGGACGAGCCAGACAATGATCCATTGTGACGATCCTGCAGTGGATATATATCAATCTCATTGAAGCCTATAGTTGTCTAGTAGCCTGGTAATATGTTATTACCTATTAGTCTTCGTTTTCAAAGATTGTGAAAAATAAAACGTATTTTCGGGGATAATACCACGAGAGCTTCAAAATTACCGATAATTTTTCACGATTGCGTGTTTTCTATAATTTCACGAGTCCGTAGGACGAGTGAAATTTAAAGAGAAAACACGCATGAGTGAAAAATTATCTGGTTCATTTTAAAGCTCAAGTGGTATTTAGAGGATTATTTCACGTATGAGAATGCAAAAAATATGGAAATAAATATGTATTAAACGATTTGAACATCTTAACAATCAATACAAATAAATGGTTGCTATCAGGAACCGTTTGTTTGTATCAAAAATTAGCATGACAACCATGTATACAATAACATGGGAGAATTATCGCTGTAATTCTCTCTAGTTAAACAAATGGAAAAGAGAATTTTCGCTGTAATTCTGAAAATCGTCACCTGTCTTATGGGATTTCTAACACATGAGTGGAATAATCAATAAAAAAATTATTGATTATTAGTATATCAATGTGAATTTTTTTGTATTTATGTTTTTTCTAAGTGCATTGTCAACTACTTAAGTAAATAACTGTACAAATTATATTTTTCGTTCAGTAAATCTTGTTTTAAATAACTATTTATTTTTTTAAAAACTAAGAAGTTATAACAAAAAATACTAGACTCTAATTGCTGCGGCGGAAAGCCGATAACAAGAGAATCTTGATTCTAAATTGCTATTGTCTAGCTATAATACAAATGAATGCCTGAGAAGCTTTGCGAGCCGTATTTATAATAAAATACTGCTGACAGTTGTAATCGTGTAGGCGAAACCTTGATACGATGGTACTATTCCAGTGCAGTACCGCTTTAGTCAGCATCTTTATATTATTGTGAGCTTTTACAGAGGCGTACACTTATATTTAACATTGAAAAGGAGTATATTATGTATATAATAATAACATAGGAATTTATATTATAACTTACATCAATTTTATCAAAGTGTGTCGACGCGTCAGCTCAGCATTAATTTGGTATAAATACCGCGCCGAGATCCATTACCGGCAGACTAAGGCTGGTGCAAAGTACCTCAATTGGGAAAAGCCCTTCTAGGTAAGTCTCCTCCCAGTGGAAACTACCTTTATTGGGAAACGCCCTTCCTGGAATATTGAACGTAGCAGACGAGGTCCAGTGCAAATTACCTTTATTGGGAAACATCCTTCTGGACCTCTGTCTCAAACCCAGCTTCAGTCTTTAGTCACGCCAAGTGTTCATAATACAGAGTGGCCTAATAGTACTAGCGGTTAGTCCAAACCATTTGGCAAATTTGTCTAAAAGCATGAAATTTGGCAGATATGTATTTTAGGCTATTCTAAGAGATTTGACCCGGAGGGCCAGCTCAATTTTTGACTGTGACTCAAAATGGCGCCTTTTTTTTCAAAATGGCGGATCATAATTTGGTATTTCTCATTTTTGTTAACAAATTTCAGCGTTCGATATGTCGTTTTCGACTAATTTTGAGTCGTAGAGTTCATAAAAAATTAATTTTTCTCCATTACGATCAAAATGGCGCCTTTTTTCAAAATGGCGGACTATAAATTGGTAATTATTATTTGTCAACAAATTTTAGTGTTCAAGATGTCTTTTTCAACTAAGTGTTTTCGTCAACATGACGGCCATTTTTCAAAATGGCGTACCATAAATAGATAAATTATGTTTTTAAAAGCTCTTATTAGCGTTTAATATGTCGGTTTCGACTAATTTTGCTTCGTAAAATTCAATTAAACTAAATTTGTTTTTGATTCTGTTGAATGTTTATTAAAAATTAGTGTATTTACAGGGTCGTTGAAAAGTACCTAGAATATGGAGATCCTTAGTCTAGTAATGTTTCTTGATCTTATTCTGAAGGGTCTTCATCATTTTCACTAAAAAGTAGTAACATATTAGTACATATATGTTTTAAAAAATTTCAACCTATCTAGCTTTCCTAAAAAATAAATTACAATTAAAAAAAAAAAACAAAAAACAAATACAAAATTACTTTGTATGTAATGGGTGATTCATTTAGAAGTGCTGTTTCCGGAAGCGATTTTTTGACAAATCGAACTGTCACACTTAAATACTGTCACGGTATTTGTGTTCAGTATTGTTTGTCAATTCATCATGGAAAGACTTAAGCCCGCCACAACGCCTTCAGTCTATTTTTTCCCGAAATAGATTTTGAAAATGACAACTTTGAAACATAAACAATGCCGCTGGTTGCAAGATACCGTGTACCTGCATTCGATGAAGGTATCGTTTTCCAACCATGTAAAAAAGGATACCTCACCTGCAAGGACATGGCATTGTGCGACCAATCAGAGCCACGCTGTATTGTTTATGTTTCAAAGTTGACAATGTCAAAATCTATCTTGGGAAAAAATAGAGTGTAGAAATTATTAAACTATATTACGAAAATCAGAGTTCTGTGAATTTATTTCGTGCGCTTCGAGCAACTTATGGTCTACATAATCGGCCTACCGAGCGCTTTATTCGCTGTACCATTAGAAAATTTGGAACTCAATTTTCATTATTGGATAATACTCGATCAAATAGACCACATTCAGCACGTAGTGCAGAAAATATAGGAGCAGTAGCTGCGAGTGTACACGATGACCGTGATGAACCCAGCTTGGCTTGTCTTATGCAACAACCTGGCGTATTTTACGTAAGGATCTTTGTTTAAAAGCATATAAAATTCAACTTGTGCAAGAATTGAAGCCGACAGAACTTCTTAATCGTCACCGTTTTAGTCTTTGGGCACTTGATAAGATTGAATAAAATCCATCATCCAGTGAATTCGCCGCCTAGGTCATGTGATATCACACCTCTAGACTTTTTCTTTTGAGGCTATGTAAAGTCCAAAGTTTACCAGGATCGGCCGGCTACGATTGAAGTATTTGAAGCTAACATTACTCGTGTCATTCGCCAAATACCACTCAAACTACTCCAACGCGCCATTGAAAATTGGAACTTCAGAATGGACCATCTTAGGCGCAGTCAAGGCCAACATTTGGAAGGCATAATATTTAAAAAATGAATGTAAAATATAGTTCTTTTGTATGATAATAAACATTACTCGATGAAATTGAATTTTCCGATTTTTTTTTTATTTTTGAAAAAAGTACCTCTAGAAAGATGAATCACCCGTTAGATTGGGAGGTTAGAAAAAGCTATTCCTTCAGATATATTAGTACTACCATCTCCATCTTGTGTTAATGTAACTCGACGAGCTTTGTAATATAAATCAAAAAGACATTCTTTATGATATTTTGTATTTAGTATTGCTAATAGCTTCAAATTTTCCAGAATTTTTGCACTGTCATATACTCTCTGGTGAATCCGTTTGGTTTCCCATCTATATAAAGTTTGTGTTCTCGATTATGGCTTTTGGCATAAAAAGCACTGTTTTTGCAGAACGTGTATTTCTGGTTCCGATATTTTCGTTTACTTCTTCGACTCTCTCTTTCCCTATTCTATCTATATCTAGTTTTTTAACAAGATTGCTTAGCTTCGGTTCCAAAAAGTTTCTAATGCAGGATATATATCATTTAGCTTCTTTAATAATAAATTCACGTAAACTACCCCCTCCTTTATCAAAAATATTAATAGGCATGTGGGATGGTAGGACATAGGAAAATGGAATCAACTTTTTAATAATTTTTCATACCCACTGTTACGTGCACTCTCAACCGGGTTACGCGCAGGACAAATTAATTTTTCTTGGTTATTTGCTTGACAAATACAACACTTTGACCAATCTACCATATGTTCTCCTAACGAGTTTGGCACCACATTTAAATCCATAATGCTTAAAAAATTAAAACACCCCGTAACTACTATAACGTACTTATTTTGGCAATTGCCTAATTATACTGCTACGGCTAGTCAGCTTCAGTTCGGAGGTTATGGGTCTATGGGTTCCTTGTATACATCTTACCTTTGGGCGCCACCAAGTTAATTGTGACTTAACTAGGAAGATAACTTAATGATGTTATAAACAAAACCTGTGCAATTGGAGAGCTTATCAATAAAACAACTAATTAGGTACAATAATGTATCTGGTTTCTTTATTAAAAATAATAACAAAATATAGAATAATGCTTGTACCAATTTATAAATATTTGATTATAAAAAAAAATAAGAATGTAAATAATGTATAAAAATATTGATTTTTAAATAAAAAGTTTTAACTGTCTGTTTACACTTGTGAAAGATTAGAACCACAATATCAGTTACACTCTACCAAGAGGCAAATTCAACACCAGAAAGGTGAAAATTATTGTTAGGGCAACCTCAGGGTAAAATTCTAGAATTTTATTTAAGGGGCACTTACCGAACGTAAATCAGTATCAAGTGATTTATATAAGATTTGCCTAAATAGTAAAAAGTGCAACTTACATGTGTACAAGTGTTGATTATCTTCAAAGGTGTGTGTAAATCCAGAAGTTTTGAAGGGATATTATCTACAGGTTCGGTCTCACTGTAGATAGACTATGGTATGGTAAGTGAGTCATGAGTCCTATCCACGTGGTATCTGTTTAACGTAGAACTCAATGTGGTTCTAGCAGAGCGGTACCAAGAGCGTTGCTGAAAAAAGGCTACCAAAGCCCCAACTGAGAGCAATCTAGATCCAGTCTAGAATCGTTCTAAATACAGCTTAGCAACTGTCCAACTATAGCCTAAGACTGTCTAGCTACAGCCTAGCACTAGGATTGTCCAACTATAACCTAAGAGTAGGATTGTCCAACTATAGCCTGAGACTAGGATTGTCCAACTATAGCCTGAGACTAGGATTGTCCAACTATAGCCTGAGACTAGGACCCTATAACGATGTTCGTATAAAAAAACAAATCGAGCCCCAAATATTAGAAATAATCTTACCTCAAATTGAGGGATACTCTAGACCAAAGGTGAAGTCTTAAACTTCCAAATGCTGCTCGGAACAGTCCGAAACAGAATCCAAAAATGACCAAGGGACGACTCTAGACAATTATCAGCAAGAAATTAGTCTAAAACTTGAGCTCCCTGGCACAAAATTCCAAAAAGTCTCGCCCCAAAAATAATTAGGGCCGAGGCCCGAGACCGGACGACTACTCAGCGTGAGGTCGCAGATCCAAAGAGGCAGATTCTTCATTTAGATTTCGGAAAAAGACTTTCATCTGTCAAACTTCTAATTTTGACATTGAAGAAAATTATAGAAAAGGAAGTGTTCATTTCACACCAAAAGTACGAACTGAGAATCGGTTGTGTAAAAAATGACTGGTGAATGTTGAAAAGTGCCTATTAGACTATCCAAGATGCTGTCAAACTTGAATTAAAATGGCCGCCAAGAGGCACACAAACCCTTTGTTTATGTGTCATAAATTTGTCATCAAATAATGTATGAGCTTAAAATAGAGCTCATTGTGAATTATTTGCGTTCTGATACGTAAAACTGTTATTTTAATTAATGTTAGAAATAGTGTATTTGAATAGTGTATTTAAATAGTAGTAAATAGTTCTCAAAAACGCGAAAAACATGCCTACAACGTGTTGTAGGATTAAATGTGGAAGTTGTGGAGATCGGCACATTTTTTTCAAATTCCAAGTGAAAAAAACAATACAAATCAAAACACAACACTGTACGGTGGAGTTGAAATAAATAAATATTTTCACATCAATCACATCAAGGGTAGATCTTGCGTGTTCAAGTGAAATGCAGGTAGAGCAACCTTGCCCAAACGATAAGGATTGCGTAATTGGGTAGAAACTGGCAAAAATTGGGACGCACACAATAGAAAATAAGTATTGAATTACGATTATTAATGACATAACATAATGACGTTATGGTTAGTGTTTGTGTCAATGTTTGTGTGCCTCTTGTCGGCCATATTTTGCTTTTCAAAGTCACGTGTTTTGGATAGTCTAATGTTCAATGACATGATGGAAATGAAAAGTCAAAGAGTACAAAAAAACAACAATTACTATCATAACCTCAGATTATTGATTGGATTTGCAAACAGAGATGGTGATGGTACTAACTCCTTCCTAAGATTATAATCAATAACAGCGGGCCCTGCCGTACTGAATCAAACCTTCCTAGATCAATTAACAAAACTTGCAAACCTGCACCAAAAAAACTTTCAGTAGAAGGCAGTACTCAAGGTAACAAAATCTGGGCACAGAAAAGATAGTTTTTTATTCATTTATTTCATTGTAGTTCTATATGGAATCATATCTACTAAAGCAAAACAAGGTAGCTTATTAGCCAAGAAATTGAAAACGTTACACTACTTAGAAACCAAGCAAAAATTATATCTACTTACCTGTTTTATTGTCCCGAATACAACGAATCCAAACACAGTAGTATAAGACCTCTTCAAGCACAAAACTCATTCTTGGTTTGGCATTTCCGCGCTAGAGGGGGGGCGCGGAGAAAACGAATGATGTTGGGGATGTACTACTAATATTTTTTAGCGAGATCCTCTTTGTATATTTTCGATTTGTTGTTATAGAGAAAACGTTTTAAGTGTAACATATTATGTTACGGGTAAAACCCTAATATTGGGTAATATAAAATTACCCAGGTTTGTCCAGGTTTGTTTGGGTCTGTTTATTTTCGTTTTAAACATAAACATACCTAGACAAACCCAACCAAACCCTAACAATAAACTTAAAATCCTAAACATCCCTGAAAAAAATTATTAGACTGAATAAACATAACATTATTT